CAGGGAAAACCAATGAATCCTTAGTTAGGCCTTGTTTACCCGCTGTTGTGAATGATAGTTGTTGTCATTTACCAATCAAGTTTTTACGTAAGGACAGTTTGCACTTTTACTGTCTCTGCCTCTGTAGGGGCATATGAAGGGGCTCAATAATTGATCACTGTTTTTAGTGGAGAAGAGAGCTGGTCAGCATCTGGACTCTTGTGTCCAAGGTGTGAGATCATTTTTAAGCTACAGACTCCTTCCTAGAAGTCTGTAAGCAGAATTCCATCTGATTTTACTGATGCCTCCTCCCCATTCATAGCATTAGTGTCTGCACAGGGGCCTTGGCATCTATTCAGACCTGGGGCACAGATTCCTGCTTTTTCCGTGGGTGGTATCTGTATTTATGTGTCTCTGTGTGTTTGACGTATTGATCTCTTACTTTTTCACTCTCAGGTCCAATTTGCTGAAATCACCCTTCCCAATGGCCTTGCTCAAGACCCCTCTCTCACACCACAGCACGTTCTTCCTGCTCACCCCGTTTTGTGTTTACTGAATGAGAGGGAGGTACTGAGGCATACTAAGCTTAGCAAAGCATTTGGACCCCTATTGGGTTACAGTGCATCATTTTACCTGGATTTGCACCGTCTGTTGCTGTTGGCCTTCTGGCTGCAGGAGGGATCAGATTACAGCAGGAGAGGCCAGGAGGATTAGCACTGAGATGCTGCAGCGGCCAGTTGATAATTACTTGGGGGTCATGTCTCAGAATAGACTCTGGCCCCTCTATCTGGCCTCAGAGAGAGGAAAGAATGCCCCTTCTTTGTCCAGCCCGCTCCTCACATTCTCTCTCCTGGTCCCTCCTGGATCTTTCTCCTGTTCTTTTTTATTAAAGCATCATTTACATACAGAAGAATTCACCCTTTCTGGCATAGAGTTCTGTGGCTTTGACAAAGGCATATAGATGTGTAACTACCAACACAATCAACATATGGAACAGTTCCATCACCCCAAAAGATTTCCTCCTGCTACCCCTTTTCATCAACCACTCCCCTGGCAACCACTGATGTGTTTTTAGTCTCTATGGTTTTGCCTCTTCCAGAATGCCATATAAATGGAACCATATAGTATGTAGCCTTTTGAGCGTGGCTTCTCACTCAGCATAATGTATGTGAAACTCGTCCGTGTTGTTGTGTTATCACGAGATTGTTCCGTTTTATAGATGAGCAGTATTCTATTAACATTCCTGCACAGATTTTTGTGTGAACATAACTTTGCATTTCATTTGGGCAAATACCTAGGAGTGAGGTTGCTGGTCATATGGCAAGTGTATGTTTAACTTTATGAGAAATTGCCAAACTGTTTTCCAAAGTGGCTGTACCATTTTGCATTCCTACTAGCAAGGTAGGAGAGATGCAGTTGCTCCACATTCTTACCACTGCCAGTATTGGCAGTTCTTTTTTCCTTTCGTTTTGTTTTTTATTTTATTTTATTTATTTATTTTTTTTAAAGATTTTATTTATTTATTTATTTTTCCCCCCAAAGCCCCAGTAGATAGTTGTACGTCATAGCTGCACATCCTTCTAGTTGCTGTATGTGGGACGCGGCCTCAGCATGGCCGGAGAAGCGGTGCGTGGGTGCACACCCGGGATCCGAACCCCGGGCTGCCAGCATTGGAGCGCACGCACTTAACCGCTAAGCCACGGGGCTGGCCCTGTTTTTTAATTTAATTTAATTTTAGCCATTCTAATAGTGTTTAGTATGTATCTTATTGTTTTTTAAAATTTGCATTTCCTTGATGGCTAATGATTTTGAGCATCTTTCTATGTGCTTATTTGTCATCCTTATATCTTCTTTGGTGAATTATCTATTCAAATCTTTTGCTCTTTTAAGAAGTGGTTGTTTGTTTTCATATTGTTAACTTTTGAGGGTTCTTTATGAATTCTGGGCACAAGTCGTTTTATCAGATATACGATTTACAAATAATTTCTCCTGTTCTGTGGCATGTCTTTTCATTGTCTTAATAGTGTCTTTTGAAGGCAAATGTTCTTAATTTTGATGAAGTCTAATTTGTCAATTTATCACTTCTTTTCTTTTATGGATCATGATTTTGCTGTTGTTGATATAAGAACTCTTTGCCTAACCCAAAGTCCTATGTTTTCTTCTGGAAGTTTAATAGTTTTAAGTTTTGCATTTAAGCCTATGAACCATTTTGAGTAAATTTTTGTTTATTTTGTGAGGTTTGAGTTAATCCTGTGGATATCCCATTGTTCTGGCACCATTTGTTGAAAAGATTATCCTTTCTCCATTTGGTTGCCTTTATATATTTGTCAAAAATAAAGGTGTGATATATGATTTTGTAGACATTTTCTCTCATTCTGTGGGTTGTCTTTTCACTTTCTTGGTGGTGCCCTTTGAAGCATAAAAGTTTTAAATTTTGATGAAGTGCAATTTTTCTATTTTTTTTCTTTTGTCATTTGTGCTTTTGGTGTCATATCTAAGAAATCATTGCCTAATCCTAGGTCATGAAGATTTACTCTTGTTGTCTTCTAGTGTTTTCTAGCTGTAGCTCTTAGATTTAGGTCTGTCTCTCAGTGGTCCCCAGTGACTTCCCGGGGGCGTGTCCTCAGGGTCTCTCTTCGTAGTCACTGCATTGGTTAACACTGCAGGCCACAGTCTATTTCTTCCTTCTCCTCCCTGGTCTTGGGGGCTCTTCCTTCTGAGTCTGCCCTGCCTTGCCCGGCCCCCAGCATCATGTAGGTCTTTGTTCCCTCATACTTTGGGCTTCTGCGGCAGCCTCCTGACCATCTCCCACTCCCTGCACTTCTCTGACCCCTGATGAATCTTCCCGAAGCTGTGTGCTCATCGTGCTATTGGTTCAACACTCCTTCATGGCTCCTGTTGTGTAAGGATTGTTCCAGGCCTTCTCAGCTTGACACTCAGATGCCTCTTCAGTCGGGCTCCAGTCTGCCTTTCCGGCTCCATCTTCTCCCTGTGGACTGCCCCTCAGGACAGAGAGTCTGGGTTATTGATTCAAGGACCCTGAGTACCTCACAAGCCTGAGCTTCCTGGATACGCTCTCCAGGGACGCCCTTTCCCGTGCCTGCCAGCCTCGCCCAAGATGCCCCCAACCCCAGGCTCAGCACAGCCCGGGCCTGCCCAGAGATCTCCTCTCATCACCTCTTGCTCCCCTCCTCTCCCTCTTGATGTCAGTCGCTTTCTGCTTCCTATTGCTGGTTCTCTGTCAGTCTTGAACCCTTATTTCCTCAACTGGATTGTAAGCTTCTGTAGGGCCGAGGTCTTCTTTCCTTGTGATAAGTAGGTAGGGTTTTTCTCTACCATGTATTTACAAAAAGTGACAACGGTAGGATTCCGGGGTGAATGGGGTCGTGGGAGTTGTAAATCGTCGGCAGAGGTGGTGGAGCTGGTAATCTGAGTTTGCCCCTTCCCTGAAGGCACATTCAGGAGGCATCTGGATGGTATCCAGGACGTGCTGAGGGGAGCTCACAGTGTCCTTCAGCCAGGAAACCAGAATTTGTTGTGCAGCCAAGGAGAGAGTAAGACTTTGAGATGGGAAAGAGAAAGTCTCTTTCTATTCATGGATGGGGGCAGACACGGAATAGGATGTCTCCAGGGAAAGAAGGCACCACACCCAGTGTGGAGCTCACATGGCCTCCGGGCCTGGGCTGGCTGAGGACCCTGGGGGGAGGCTGGGACCACCTCAGAGCTGGGGTGAGGAAAGCCTTCAGGTAGAAGGCAGACCTGAGTCAAGGATGGGACTTTAGGATCCAGAGACAAAGAGGCTCCTGGAAGAAGAGTGTGGCAGCTGTCTGCCGGGTCACTGCCGGGCACCGGAAGTCCCAGAGGAAGAAGGCACTTAGGGACCCAAATGGACAAGTGGACTGGGGACCAAAGCAGGGCTCCTGAGGGCCGGACGAGCCACAGCGGAAGGTGCAGGGGCTGACCTAGGCTCCCTTCTGCAGTTGACACTAAGAATTAAGTTTTTGGAGGGAGTGATTGAGGCCTGGAAGCCTGAGCATCTTAGTGTGCTTCCGTCCTGTGTGGCCTGAGGCAAGGGCGGGACCAGTTTACCCAGATACCCCTGGAGCTGTACCTGCCAAGAGAAATTTTGATTAAACAGCAGCTTTGCCAGGATCTGAAATGTGCTGTGTAAACTTGCTTTTGTGCGTTGTGTTGTGTTGTGTTTTAGCTTTTCAGTAAATATTCCTTTCAAAAGAATTCCAACCTTGTCTCTGCGACCTGAAGGGCAGTGGTATTTTTCCACACACACATCTCTGTCAGCACGGAGAAGGGCATCAGGAAGGAGCAGGGGCGATAGCAGACGCTCACCAGCTGGTGTGGTGGGGTTGTCAGGGGTGCTGGTGCAGAGAAGGAAGGGAAGCCTAGGAAGAGGAGGTGAGACACTGTCTCACTGTGGATACTGATCTCTACTGGCCGGGAACCTTATCTTCTTCTCATTACCAGATGATTAGCACAGTGCTGGGTACCTCATGGGTAGCCAGCAAGTACTTGCTTCATTGGAGCTGATCCCTGGGGAATAATAAACTAAGGCTCCTCTGCGCAAGGGCGGCCTTTTGACCTATGCTGGACTCTGTCACACTTCCAAAAAATAAAATCTCGCCGCCCTCGTGGAACCTTCCTTGCAGTGTCCCTGCCACTCCCAACACACACACAGCTTCGTCACAGCATCGCTAATGCACTGAACCTTTTAATCTTGGGTACTGTGGACACGTTCAGTATGATTATTCAGTGACTCGGTGTCCCTAGGGCTGTACCGCGAAGGTTTGGGCTTTGAGGACAGCCCAACCGATTACGCGTGGCTACTCCCAGCGGCCGGCCATGGGTGGGCATCCTTGGCATTTGTTTGCTGGCAGCTGGGTGTGTGTTTGCTCAGATGGGAGATGCAGGCTCCAAGCTTTGGGGCCAGAAGGGTGAGGGCTGGGGCTCCAGTGACTGGTGCCCGCTCCAGGTCTGAGCTCAGTGTCCTCGTTTCTCCCCCGCAGCTTGTCTCCAACGTGCTCATTTTCTCCTGCACCAACATCGTGGGCGTCTGCACCCACTACCCGGCCGAGGTCTCCCAGAGACAGGCCTTCCAGGAGACCCGGGAGTGCATCCAGGCGCGGCTCCACTCGCAGCGGGAGAACCAGCAGCAGGTGAGTGAGGCCGTCCCACCCCACGCAGCTGGCAGGGAGCAGAGGCCCGAGACCTGCTGCAGCCCAGCTGCCCACCTCCCCACCAGCTGTGCTCCTGACAGCTGCCCAGCCCCACCTCCCGGGTGGGGGCCCAGCCCGCCGAGGAATGTTTCCCCTGGAGAGAGCCCAGCATTCCTAGCTCTGTGGGAATGCTCTAGGAGAGACCCTAGAGAAAGAGCTCTGCCCCTGTGCTTGCCCATCGCCTCTGCAACGTCCCCCTGTGGTTTTGCAAGCAAGCCAAGCAGCCCAGGCCCTGGGCATCAGGAAGGGGCCCTTCGACCCCTTCCCCGGGGCTGATGGGTTGGAGTGTTGGGAGCATCAGCATTCCCACCTGGAATTAAGGTCCTCCCGGCAGGAGAAGGACGGAGCTGTCAGCCCCTGTGACACCCACAGTGTCACACTAGGCACTTCCTCTGTACCGAGTTCTGGGGTTTAGTTGGGTCAGAGAAAGGAAGGTGGTCCAGTCTCACCCTAAACCTCACCCTCAGAGGACTCCATTCACGCAGGGAGGTAGGCCATTCACGCAGGCCACAGACTTCGGGGGCTTCTCCCAGTGAGCCCTGGGGCAGAGGGACCTGCCTCTGTGCTTCTCTCGGGTAAGGGCAGGACAGGGACTGAGGGCTGTGTTAGGGTTCCATTCCTGTTTGCCTGGCATCCCGGGGCAGGAGACCTGTTTGGGGTTTAGGACCGCTGTGTCCTCTCCTGCGTGTGAACCAGATAGAGGTCTGAGAACTCCGAGACACAATGGAGCCGCATAGCTCCCAGACGGGAGGCCCGGAGGGGCCGTGTGAGCCCAGGGGAGGCAGTGGGAAGGTCAGCAGGGGGAGGGAGCTCCCACTGGAGTCATCCAGGTCCTGGCCCTTGGAGAGAAGATGACTGCAATCCAGGTCCTCTCTCTCCTATTTCAGTGTCTCTCCAAACCCTCCACAAACACTAGTGGGTCCTGCTCTGGGCCACATGCTGTGTCAGGCCCAATGGCAGGTGTAGACAGGGAAGGTCTGCGTTTGAGCGTGGGGATGGGGAGACAAAGGCCTGGACAGCAGTGGTCAGCTGCACTCCCCTGGCCAGCACGGAGTGCATGCTGTGGACACCTGGATGGACAGCGGTTTTACCACAGAGTGAGGGTGTCTCTGACTCCATCTGCATACATCTTAGGGGAGTTACACTGACATGGGTGGGTGACATCCAGACGCCTGAGCAAGGGGGCACAGCTCTGCAGTGTCTCTCAGGCCCTCCCCCAGTCACCGCCTGTCCCTGCTTCCCTCTAGCCCTGCTGCTGTGGCCGCCGTGTCCTGCCAGCTCCCCAACTCATGCTGTCCAGTCGGAGGCCTGGCTCGCGCCATGCACTCGTTTGGCCCTGTCTGGGCTCCTGGTCCAGCCTCTTGAATAAAGCCCAGCAGTGTCCCCAAGTCCTCTGACCACCTTTTCTTGACAAGCTCACCTCACCTTTGCACCCCGCTGGCTGCCTCAGCCCCTACCTGCCTCGGAAGCCCCCTCTCTCATCCCAGTTCCAGGTCCCAGCATCTCTCACCCGGGATCAGGACGTCTTCCTTCCCCTTCCATGTCAAAGAGTGGCCCCTCTCACCTCTGGGCGTCGCTTCTCCAGTAAAATGAGCATTTTACAGCTCATCTCAGCTTACTTGCTCTGGCCCTGGTTAGGCTGGACATTCCAGCAAATCCACAGGGATTTGGGGAGAAAATATGTTTGTCATACCATGTTCTGGGCCAAGATACTGAGGGGAGGGGAGGCGTGCTTTCTGGGGACAGGCCTTCCTCACCCAGCTGGAGCCCAGCGGCTCTGGGGCTGCCCCTGCCCTCTGCAGAAAGGCTGCTCTGAGGATCCCTGGGGGACGCTCCTAGGTGCCACCTAATGAGGGGACTCAGATTGTTCCCTGCCCATCCCCTGCCCACTCCTCCTGACCTTCAGCCCTAGAAGTAGTTACAAAGGTAGGAAGGTCCCTCATGAATCTAAACAATTTGTAGCACACTTTCTGCTAGTCATCCTATATTTTCACAGAATCGTCCTTTAGTTTGTGTTTTTAACACCAGTAACTGTTTCCTGAGAGTTCAGTAAAGATGAGATGGCCTTCAGTGGCCATGTTCGCTGATGCCTTGGGAGCCCAGGCCGACCCACAGAGAGCACCATCCCTCACTAGTTCACCAGTGTTTCCCCAGCATAAGGCTGTCAGCTGTGGCGCTGAACAAGACAGAGCTCCTGTCTTCAGGGAGGTGGCGCATTGCACGCACTGAAGGGAGACAGGTTAACAGACCATTGAAATACAGAGTGATAGGGGCTCTAAAAGAAGGCCCAGGTGGGCAGGGGATGCTGGCAGCCAGAGCCAGGACCCTCCTCCTGGGAAGAGGTTGGCCTGAAGGAGGGTTGGGAGCAGTGTGTGAAGATGGTGATCCTAGCTGAGAAGCTTGGGTGGGAAGGCAAGAAAAAACTGGCAGAAGCTTGGGAAGCTTCCTTTGGTTCACTCTGTCTGGAGCAGAGTGCAGATTTCAATTACAGGGGTGCTGGGAAGGGAGCATGGAGGGGTAGGGAGGAGCCAGATCGTGGAAACCTTGAGGCCAGGCTGGAGGCATGGGCTGATCCTGGATCAGGAAGCATAGAAGGGTTTTACGCAGAGCAGTGATGTGGTCAGACGTATGTTTTGGAAGGATCACGCTTGCAGTGTGGAGGATGGATCAGAGGCAGCAAGCTCAGAGACAGAGAAATCGCTTCAGAGAGTGCCCCGGTCATCCAGGCCAGACCTGAAGGAGCAGGCCAGGCACAGGAAGGGGGTAGGGGGAGTGAGGGCGTTGAGTTGCAGTGGAAAATAAGGAGGAGTGGGCTCAGCGGGTCCAGAAGAATCCACATTTGATGTGGCTGGTGGACCCTAGGGAAGTGTTGGAGGTTTTGAGCAGGAGAGTGACATGTCCTGGAGAGACTGGGGCCCAGGAGCAAGGAGGGCTGAGGAGAGGCTGTTTGGCCAGGACAGTGTGGCCAGAGTCCTACAGTCCGGTAAAAACGGCATGTGGGCAGTGGAGGCGGATGCAGAACAGAAAGGACAAGTCCGAGAGCTGTGTCCAGATCAGCAGGACGTGCTCAGTTCCGGACGGGGCCCGGGGCTGAGGGGAGAGGATGAGTCTCAGAGGAGAAGTTCTGAAAAGTCAGAGCAGTTTCCACGGGCGGGGTCTTGAGCCTGGTGATCAAGAGAATGGGGTGTCGTGGACAAAGGCAGGGAACTTGAAAAGAAGAGCCACCTGGGATGAAACTCTGGAAGGGGAGTATGGTTTGGGGTGTGGTGTCAAGGTGGTGGTGGGAAGACCCTGGGTGGGCAGCCGGAGACTCAGGAGTCCTGGACGAGGGAAGGGGAGTGGGAGGTGACCAGGAGAGCTGCTGGTGGAAACCCTGCTCCCAGAGGGCAAGAGTGAGCAGAAAGAGGACAGAGGTGGGGATGCGGTCTGTGTGGGGCCAGGAGGAGGGAGAGAAGCCAGAAAAGATGCAGGAGAGGGAAACGAGTCTCAGGGCCGCACGAGGGGGTGGCCCAGCATCCGGTGCCACATGAAGGACAGGAGAATGAGGGGGGCTGGAGAAGGCAAAGATGAAAGGCTCCAGGTGAGAGAATTCTGTGAGCGAGCCTGGCAGAGAGCCTGGCGTGGGTAGTGGGCTGTGGAGGGCACAGGTGGAGGGAGCAGGTTGAGGGCACAGGTGGAGGCCGCCTGCCTTGCAGGCAGCTGGACCTCTTGAGCAGGCTGGGCCCAGAGGAGACCACAGAAAGGGGGCGAAGTCCAGACCCCATCATGGCTGACGTGACCCTCCCCCCTCTCCCTGCTTCTCTCCCTCCTCCTCTTCGACAGGTTTTAACCTCTCAGTTTCTCAAAGCCGGTGTGCTTTCCCTCTCTCCTGGGCCACTGTCCCCTCCGTGGAAATGGAGCCCCCGCTTCTCACCTCATCCTCTGGTCCCCATGAAGCCTTTTATACACCCCACTGCTCCCTAGCCTAGGTCTCGTGCCCCTGCTCAGTGCCCTGTAGTAGCCTGTGCCCCCATGAGTCTGGGGGGCTTTGTGGAGGAGGAACATTGTCTGTCTCGTTCACGGTTATAACTCCTGGCACCCAGCATGATGCCTGGAATGGTAGATGTTCAATAAATATTTGATGACTAATTGAATGAGTCTCATTTAATGCTCTCAGCACCCCATCCCCGTTTACAGATGAAGAACCTGAGGCCCAGAGAAGTTCAGTAATTTGCCCAAGGTCACACAGAGTCTCAGGTGACATCTAGGATTCTAGCCCAGGTGCTCAGTGCTACCGGTTCACCAGGAGTGCTTGTCCCCACGTACACCAAGGAACCGGGAGATGTCCCAGGGAGACGGGGCCAGGAAGCCCTGGGGGCCTGACTCCACCCCCCCGCCCCCCCCCCCAGGTGTTAGCCCCACGAGTTTCAGGAGAGCCTGAGAGGTTTTCCAGGGCCCGGCAGGTGGGGGCACAGGTGTGGAGGACTCAGCCTGGGGAGGGGACTGCCGGGCAGGTGGAAGGAGCTGTGACGAAAGCATCTGCTTCCCTCCCCAGGAGCGGCTCCTGCTGTCTGTCCTTCCCCGTCATGTTGCCATGGAGATGAAGGCAGACATCAACGCCAAGCAGGAGGACATGATGTTCCATAAGATTTACATCCAGAAACATGACAACGTGAGGTAGGGGTGAGGCCGGGGGGCGAGGGCAGGGTGGGAGGACTGAACCCCAAAGGAGATGACATCCCCACTCCCTCCCCTTCAAGGGGGCACAGCCCAACATGGTGGTCTGGTGGTTTCGAAATGTGTGTTGTCTGGGGCACCCCAGCCCTGCCCCTCTAGGTCTGTTAAGTGAATTATTACGGGGTGGAGGGAGGAGGTGAGGCTGCAGGGAGAGGATCTAGAAGGAAGGAGGAGAAAGGAGACAGCAACACCGTCAGCTCTTGAGGAAGCTCCTAGCCCAACAAGGGAGACAGAAAGCTTAGACTTGGGACCCAAATACTACCATCGTCACCTCAATCTTCATTACCATCTAGCAGCTTCCATGCCTTCCAGCCAGTGTGTTCCAGGCACTGTACCAGGCATTACCCACCTCGTTGTGAATCCTCCTGACAACCCTGTAAGGTGGGGACCCTTATCAGCATCCCTCGCTTAGAGATTGAGCTCAGAACGGCTAAGACCGTTGCCCAAGGTCACTCAGCCAGGAGTGGCAAAGCTGGGGTGCACCCAGGTCGGCCTGCCCCAAAGCCCACACTCCCTGTACTGCGTGTTTACTGCTTCCCTAGACAGAGCTGCTGACAGCAGGACGTGCAAACAGATGTAGATTAATAGAGTGCAAAATCTGCCTTTGGGTTCCACGGGGACACGAAGCGATGCAGTGGCTGGCTTCCTGGGGAGCCTGACAGTCCTCCGGTATGCCCAGAAAAGGAGCTGCCATGTTCGCCTTAGAGGGATTTACTTTCTCCCTGGGTGAGTTTTCCTAGGACCCACGAGTGCTCCAAGGTTGATGCAGACAGAACCCTTTGGAGGCTTGGGATGAATTTTCAAGAAAGGGATTAAACGGAATCATGGAAATTATTGCACACACCGCTGCGTGCACACACACACACCCATCCATTCAGGGTGAGGCTGATGGCCACAGGGAGGTGGGGAGGCACTCTGTGTTTTCATGCAGAGTGGGCAGAATTGCCCAGTTCCCAGGTGTGCCCTGGAATCCAAGACTGTTGGTTCTGCTGTGTGTCCTTTATCCATCTCCCAAAACAGATTCTAAGCCTTTGGAAGAAAAATGGACCTGCACAACACTTTTGTCCTCAGTTTTTGGGGTATCCCAACCCACCTGAGGCCCATCCACACTCCACCGTCAGGCAGGGACAGTGTGGCCAGCAGTAGCCTTGGTCTTGGGAAGAAGGCTGCCCTGGCTGAGTCTCCATGCCCAGCAGGGGTCCTGAGGGGCTACAGGCTCCTCGGAGTGGAGCTCAGAGAGGGAAATGGGGTCCGGGCCTTGGTAGGTGGCACTGACGTGCTGGTTTCCCACTACTCCTCCTCACACCCATCTCTCCTCACATCGTGGAATAATCACTAACAACACTAGTTAATACTTGTATAGAACTTTCTTTAACCCACGCACTGTTCTAAGTGCTTTCATAGATTCACTTAGTCCCCACAATAAATATAGGAGGTTGGTGCTATTATTATCGCCATTTTACCGGTAAGGAAACCAAGGCACAGAGATTAACTTGTCTAAGATCCCATAGCTGGTTAAGTGGGAGAATTGCTCCCAGAAAGCTTTCAGATATCAGAGTCTGTACCTAGCCTGACGACTGGACAGGTGTTTTTTATATGCCCAAAAGAAAGGAGTTTGTATGGGGACTCTGTGGGAAGGAGTCTTGGGGAGACCCCAGGCCAAGAGGAGACTCAGAGGAGAGGGAAAAGAGAGGTTTGGCTCCCAATGTGTGTGTGTGTGTGTGTGTGTGTGTGTGTGTGTGTGTGTGTGACTGAGTACCCACCAGGGGCTTTTCCTGTCTGATGGCAACCCCTCAGATCTGGGGGACTCCACCTTATGACATGTAAAGAAACAGCCTTCCCTGTTAAAACAAATCCCAGAGGCCCAACGTTCAGGTGAGGAGTGACCCTCCAAGTGGTCCCAACACATACAAACCCCTGAGCTCTCCCCTTCTGGAATTTTCTCTCTTGCCCCAATCTCACCGTTGTTCCTGGCAGACCCTGGACAAAAGGTGCTTTCCTTGATTGCTCTCAGCACACAGAGCTTTCAGCAGATTTCACTCAAATATAAAGTGGAACACAAAGGAAATCCAGAAAATTCACTGCTCAGAAGCAGTCGGCATTCAAGGCACAGGTTCTCAGCCTGGCTTGGCTACACACGGCATGTCTCGCCACCTCTGCATCTCTGTGCAGTACCTGCCCTCTCATCCTCTGTCCTCCTGCACGGCGGGCATCGCCTTACTTCCCGTCCCACAGTTGCTGGCTCTTGGGCCCCCAGCCCTCCAGCAAGGGAGTTTGGTCAGAGGGGCCCACTCAGGCCTCTTCCACCACCACAAGGAGGGGCCCACCCTTGGGGTGACACCCCCTCACCCCTCCATTCCTGAAGAGGCTGTGACTTTGGGTCATCGCATGGCCAGAGTCAGGCCCCAGCCACAGTGGGGCTATTTCTGTTCTAAGATGTGCTCAGGATCAATGACAGCAATCGGGTAAGAGATGAAAGGAGAGGAGAACCAAGATGCCATCATTTTCATGGGGACAGACATAATTCTGACTCTGAAATTGCGGGGCTAGAGGTGGCTGGTACACATCAGAGGCCAGCCACCAGCAATCATATGCAAATATCCCGTCGGGCCCCTTTCCCTGTTCCGTTAGCAGCGCTGGGTGCAGCTCATGATGGAAACACATTGCATGCTCGTGTCTCTGTTTTTGGGTTGAACCTTTGACCTGGGTGGGGGTTGAGTAGTAGGTGGAGGGGTGACATCATAGTGTAGAAATGCACTTCAGGGCTGGGCTCGTGGTACAGTGGTTAGGCCTGGGGCCCGGGGTCAGGCGGCCCTGCGTGTCACCCCAGCTTTGCTGTTTCCTGGCTGTGTGACCAGGGCAAGTGACAGGTATTGAGCCACTCTGAACCTCAGTTTCTTCACCTACATAAGAGGATAGGAAGAGTATCTACTTAGTAGGGTTGTAAAGAGTAAATGAAATAATGTGATGAGAGCGCTTAGCACAATATCTGGCACAGAACAAGTGTTCAGTAATTGGGAGCAGCTATGATTGTTGTTACTGTTATTATTATGATGATTATCACATTCCTATCAACAAAGAAGGGCCTGGGGAGTCTCGAGCTGGAGAAGGGCGATGAGTCACATTCGTCAATTCTCTGTGGAGCTGTAATATTTAGAAAGGGTGATGACATGCTGTTCTCTAGCCCCACAGAGAGCAAGGCCACAAGAAAAATAAATCAACGCTGCGGTGTGACAGATTGGGCCTGGATCTGCGGAAAGGGAAGAGACTAATGGGTGGGGGGAGAGTTTGGCCTGGGCAGGGAGGGGTGACAGACAGGTGGTCACCACTCTCTGTGGCCTCATCCTCCTCTGGCCCTGAGGAGAATGGTTGCAAAGCATTCAGTTCCCGGGCCTGCCAGGAGCCTGTCAGATGCTTTGGTCCTGAGCCACCGCTGGCTATGGGCGGAAGCAGGCCAGAGGCCAAGGTGCCCCTGGAGACCTCCCTAGGGCCCCTCAGATGCCTCTCCCGTCTGACGTGTGGTGACAGATGGAGATGCCAGTTGGGGCGGGGGCCCATTCCCGGGATGTCAGACCTGTGGCTTGAGAGCCCTCCTGCCTGTCCGCACCTCCCCCCAGATACCTGCCCTCCTGCTGCAGCAGTGCCGGGGTCAGAGGTGGGCTATGCTGTCCCCACTCCCCGACATGCCAGCAGAGGCTGCTCTGGGCTGGGGGCTCCTGGTGCTCTGCTTTGGGAAGAGGGAGATCGGGGTTGGAGGAACGGGCCAGCCAGAGAAGGCACCACATCAGGGGAGGTCCGTCCCCGTGGGTCACAGTGAAAGTACAGGTGCAGCCGGAATCCAGGCGCCACTGGATTACCCTAGCCAAGAGGTCATTGTTGTGGAGCAAGGTGAGTGTCTGTTGAGCAGACTGCTTCACACCCTGCTCTGCCACTTAGTAGCTGTGGGGACTTGAGCAAGTCACCTAATCTAAGCCTCAGTTTTCCCATCTGTAACACAGGAATAGTGATGTCCGTTCACTCGCCCATTCAGTGGATGTTGTACTTCTGCCTCCATCAGTGGGGACCTCCAGCCGCGTGCTCACACTTAGCTAGAGGCAAGGATGGTAATGGGAAGTAAGGCATCTGACATCTGGAAGCTCACCTTCTGTTTGAGAGGACACACCCTCAACAACGGATTAATTAGTCACTGGGAATGTACCGCATGAGGAGTGGGGGCAGTGACTCTGCGGACATGGGCGTTGCATTGTAGCAAAGTATAGATGTTAAACAATTTCCCACTCAATTATTCTGTTACAGTTGTGATAACAGCCACAAAGGAGCCGAGCCGATATGAGGGGGCCCTGGGGCTCCTTGCAGGGGTGCTGGTGGGGCAGATGAGATTGGGTGTGTAAAGCCCCTGGCCGGGCTCCTGGCTCAGGAGGTGGCTGCAGACTGTCCGCCCTATGGGGGTGGAGCAGGCTACTGGGCAGGCTGCCAGGGGAGAGTCAAGGGCGGGTAACCCAATACCCCAAAGGTTTCAGTGTACAGGGAACGCCCCAGCCAGCCTGAGAGGGTGCTGAAGAATTCCCCGCTTCCACAAGGGTCCCTACTGAACGAGGAGGCCCGCGCCTGATTGGCCTGTCCCCATGCTGGAGCCCTCAGGTTCTAAAGGCTGTAGGTGGTAGGGGGCCCGGGTTCAGTCCAGAGACTCTGCTTTCTGCACAAATGGAGAGAAGGCCGCCTCCTCCAGGGAACGCCAGTCCCCTGCTGAAGAAACACCGGCCTCACAGCGCTCCATCTGTTTGGATCCTGGGAGGAGTTCAGGATGGAGTGGGGGGTTTTGGTTCACTGGCTTGAATCAGAGCCTCATTCTCAGGGACCCAGCAGCCCTGTGGGGCTGCAGCCGGGGGCCTGGCCGAGGGACTGCTGACCCAGGTGTGGAAATGAGGTAACACGCCCTC